CCCCTCCCCCCCACTCTCCCCCCACCACCACCACTACGCTCGACGCATATCCATGATAACATGTTAATATAGCGAAGTCATTAAAGTTACACAGCTGTATCTTTATTACTGTACTACCAGTATAGCAAAGCCTAGCTATCATAGATTTTAGATCTGTATTAGTAGTATCCTAGATATATGCTCTGATCGTGAACGCGATGATGGGAGGGTGCTCTTCATTCGTTTGCCAGTGAGTTTAGCATCAGAACACCTACCGCCAGGTGAGCGCTGTCGCTCTGCGGCATTTGTTCTTTCTCCTTTTCAAGAGAAGATGTAAATATCATTCTCAAGCAGTCCCAATTAAATACCAGGAAATTTCTTTCCCCTTCAGCACTGTATAGTACTACATCTCATGGTAGGGTAGCAATATGCTGTACAATCATTGTCAGCATCACCTTCGGTACTCTAGTTGTGTTACCCAGCCAAAAATAGCACAAGTACTACCCTAACCCACTAATGACAACAGGATGTGTGGTTTCACCTTAGCAACTGACGTATCATGTACCAGTCAACACTGGTTGTGTCATTGCTGCATCTGTTGATATATGTGTGTATCTAAAACATGCCACGTGATCACACACATATGCCGATTGCAGTAACATCTCAAATGCAGGCTACATGGTCTCCATAACCGTTGCCATTTCTCCTAGCCGTCTAGAAAAATCCTGCAATAGAGTGTGACACTATTACCATACTAACATATTTTACACCAGAACTGCGGCCATGTCTCTGGAAATAATGATGCTTGGACACCAATGCTATAGATCTATAGAATGGAATAACTGTGCACTTACTGTGAATTTTGGAATGGACATCTCAAAGATCATCTGTTTGACCTTTCCCGAGGAGTCGGCCAATTTAAGTATAACGGTGACATAGGGGGCACCAAGGTTCCTGCAGGAATCGGATGCCATAGCAATGCCAAGCTTCCACTGAAGGTCAATCAGCTAGAACACCAGAGCAAATTCATGGCACATGATTTTTTCCCTACTGGAGCATACCAGGTTTACATTAAAATAACAGGTGAAATGTTTCACCACGAATATTGTACGTCGAGCGATATTCATTGTTCAAAAGTTTACTGCTCAACTAGATGAGACAGTTTGACAGAACAGGTACTGCTCATCAAATATTGCCGCTACAGATTATTTACATATAGATAGCTGTATTAATATTGTGTGTCTTTGTGGTAAGCTTTAATGAGGTGTAATTGCAACATTTTCCATGCAAACGTGTACATCTACAGGGTTGGGACAGTACACACCTTGCTAACACTAGTTTCACACTGCACACAGTCCCTTAGACTATGCATCTTTATTTGCCCCGAGTGTTCATCCCAGACACTTCCAATTACACTGATGGCCACATCACTCCACGACATACTCCACTTCAAGTTCTTTACTAGCTCCTCTGCTGTTACACCAGTCTTTGCAGACGACCTGTCATCAATGACATTTTTTATTGGAATATTCCATATACGCTTGCATTATAACCCATTCTACGTAAACGTTTACCTACAAGCTCTAATTCAAAGCTGATATTATGCAAATCTCGCTTCTGTTGAAGGTGAAGCTCAGTTTTTCGGATGGGAAGATGGTAAATTTGAAACCAAGAGTGCAACCCAAGTGATTCCTAAATCTCATATAAATCCTCTAGATTTATCATAAAGCTATGTTTTTAATTTTCGAGATTATTGCACAATCAATATTACTAAAAAACTGCATCACCTGAATAAAAACTGAAGTGCACTGCTAGCCATCTGTATATCTGTAGATGTCAGTTTTGACCCTAACTGGTGACATTTCTGAAATTAAAAACAAGACACTGTTTAGATTACCACTGCAAACACACCGTTTAGAAATTCTTCCAGTTACTGATGTGAGATCGAATCAGTTCTGATGACAGTGATTTTCATAATTATTATTGATTGTTAAAGGCATACTGGGCCCATTAATTATGCAATGTTGATGAATGCTAGAGTAACTGCCACCTTGTGTAGTTAATAAGTACATAACCTTATAGTTATAGCCAAACACGTATTAGTTTGTCCAATATCACTGCTGGTTACATCACAAGTAAAGAAGCTAGAACTCGTTTCCTGAATGAAGTTTTATATCACTAGAAAATGTAAGCGACACGCTGAAACAAATGAAAGGGAACTAATGTCAATACAGTATAACGATAACTGTCACAGTTCTCTCTCTCCGTTAATATAACTAAATCGACATCCCCCCCCCCAGTTCGAGGGGGCAATGCCGCGAACTCAAGGAGAAATCCAGTGGCCGGTCTCTGGTTCATAGACGCGAGGCTGGCGAATCGCACAGCGAGGGCGCAGTGATGGCGCGGGAGGCGAAGCATCGCTGAGTGGCGGCGGCTGACCATGTGGAGGCGATGCAGGGGCCAGGGTAGACAGCGATAGAGTGGCTGCTGGGAGATCGTCATCTGTCGGCCTTTCATGCGATGCTGAAGGACTCGGCGGCGCAACACAAGGCATGTCCGTGCACGGATCGCGTGGGACAGCGTGTGGAAGACCAGGACGAGGCAGGGAAGCATCTGGCGGTTTGAGAGCTGGTGGTGCCAGCGACGGCATAGATGGTCCTGCATGGGCCCGTTCCTGGATCTAGGTAGAAGCCGGAACAAATGCTCGGAGGAACTTCTGGTTCCGTGTGGTGAGGCACCCGGACCCGTCCACTTTAATGCGGTATTGGTCGTGGCCAAGAGTCTCGACGACCGTGCCGGTGCGGTCCCATCGCTTTGGCGAGTTCCCCACCTGATTCTGGATGAAGCACCTGTCGCTGTCATGTGTTGGCCGCAGGGGGCGCACATGCTCATTCAGGCTCTCAGACGACTTTACGAATCTCGCTCGTAGCACGACCTCCTTCGAGTGCCATGCCTCTTGCCATTCCGGGCGGACAAAAGGGTTCGAGTACTTCTCCAGGCGGTTTACGAAAGAGAATGAGTCATGCAGCCAGGGCTCGAATTAAGCGACGAGAAGGGCAAGGCAATTTTTTTATCGCCTTGAATTTTCTCTAAAATGGAAGGGCACAGAGGCAATTTTAAAAGGCACCAAGGCAACTCAAAATTTGAGAAGGGCACAAAGGCACTTTTGTAAAATAAAGGAAAACTCATAACAAATTAGTACATCAACATCGTCTTGCTTTTAATGTACAAAACAATATGCCCCCATGTAAGCTTACACCGTAACACCGACCGGTCGGGTTGGATTTCCAGGGGCAGTACGGCAATTGCCGT